TTCCGCTCGCGATCTACAAAGGTATGTAGATGCAATCTGAATACTCGTTGCTAGATGAACTCATAGATGGACCTTGGTGAAACCGTAGGAAATTTTTTGTTTTCTGCAACGTTCTCCAACAGAGACCCACAAGAGGAAGTGGATAGGGTCGTTCCACACGGCCGAGCTCGTAGCCATGGAGTACGACCGGTGGCAAGTCCGGTACCATATGAACAGGACCCCGTGCGAGACGTAGCCAGCCGGTTTTGGGTTTCCTCTCGATGAACATTGACCGTTGCTACCGCGCGCGCGATACGTAGAGCGAGTCGAGACATGGTGAGTCGAGGCTGTGGATGAACAGTTCCTAGTGTGGGTTGGTTGAACAGTACCCCATTGTAGTAGGCGGTTGTCGCTGGATGAACAGGACCCCGAGGAGGCCGCCGCATCCCAGCCGGTTGGGGATGGATGACCCCGTGGAGGCTGGATGAACAATAGTCGGTGAAGGCTGAATGACAGTAGCCCCGTGGATGAACAGTAACTGGTGGAGGCTGGAGGAAGTCGACGGTGGATGAACAGTAGCTCGTGGAGTCCCATTTTGCGGTACACCAGACCCCTCTCGATGAACAGGACCCCGTTTCGACTGTAGGTGCTCTAACAAAATTCCGCTTCGCCCGTTTTGCGGTACGCCAGATCCCTCCTGATCAATAGGACCCCGTCTCGACCGTAGGAGCTTGAATAGAAGTCCGTTTCCTCCGTTTCGCGGTACGCCAGAGCCCTCCCAATGAACAGGACCTTGTTTCGACCATATGCGCTCTAACAAAAGTCCGTTTTGTCCGTTTTATGGTATGCCAGACACCCCCTTATCAACAGGAACCCATTTCGACCGTAGGAGCTCGAACAGAAGTCCGTTTCCTCCATTTTGGGGTATGCCAGACCCCTCCCGATGAACAAGATCCCATTTCGACCGTAGGCGGTCGAACAGAAGGCCGTTTCCTCCGTATTGCTTTACGCTAGACCCCGTTTCGGCTGTTTCGTCCAAGCCGGTTGGCTCCCGTTGAACAGGACGCATTCCGCCCCAGTCGGTTGCCTCCCAATAAACACGATGCTATTTCTCCGTTCCGACCCAACCGGTTGGCTGCCAATGAACAGGGCGCCATCGATGTACGCGTTCAAGACCACACCCGTATGTACGTAAGTGGCCATCTTTTTTTGCAGTGTGGCTGGCGTATGTGTACATGATTTAGACGGCACTGCCTGAATAGAATGGAGGAGGATGGGGAGGACACGGAGCAGGAAGACGCGGGGGACGCTGGGGAAGCGGATCTGTAGGAGGAGCAGCGAGCAATACTTGATTCCCTCCGGTCAGAATCGGAGGGCACCCGCCGTCGTCTGTAGGAGACAGAGACGGAGCATGACGCGGACTTTGACAAGATGCGTGACACCTTGGACGATGAAGCGTAGTTGATGTGCGTAATACGTAGGATTTCTTTTACATGGTTTGTATGAATTTAGGGATGAAATATAAGAGCATCTCCAGCCAATGCCCCCCAGGACGCATAAAAATCGCCCCCTAGGGGCGAGCCGGCGATACAATTGGTGTTGGGGCCGGTTTTGCGCCCAATCGTCGCCCCCAGGCGCCGAAATTGGCCCACTTTTCAGCCCCATTTCGGCGAATAAAGGGCCCATATGGGTGAGAATAGGCCCATATTCGGCGTGGTTTGCCGTGTCTCGGTGTTCAATTATCAACACAATTTTTTCTTATCACATATTTCATCACAGAAAAAATCAAATACTTCAATAAAATAGTACAACAACAAATAGTTCAATACAAATTATATAGTTCAACAAATAAAAACTCATATTTCATCACACGGCGTCCCCCTTGAGCCTTCATAGGTGCTCAATCAGATCTTTCTGCAGTTGATGATGCACCTGTGGGTCTCAGATCTCCTGACGCATACTGAGATAGGCAGTCCAGGTTGCCGGTAGCTGGTGATCGACTTCGGCTAGAGGACCCTGCCTGTAGTATGGTTCAGTTTCAAACACTGGGTCTTCTTGCTCGCTCTCGATGATCATGTTGTGCAAGATGATACAGCAAGTCATAATCTCCCACATTTGATCTTTGGACCAGGTCTGAGCGGGGTACCGGACAACAGCAAATCGAGATTGGAGCACACCAAATGCCCGCTCGACATCCTTCCCGCAAGCCTCCTGAATCTTCGCAAACCAAGCGTTCTTGCCTCCTGCCACAGGGTTTGAGACCGTCTTCACAAATGTCGACCATCTTGGATTGATGCCGTCAGCTAGATAGTACCCCTTGTTGTAGTGCCGCCCATTGATCTCGAAGTTCACCGGAGGAGAATGACCTTCAACAAGCTTGGCAAAGACAGGAGAACACTGCAGCACGTTGATGTCATTGTGAGTTCCTGGCATACCAAAGAAAGAGTGCCAAATCCAGAGGTCCTGTGTGGCCACCGCCTCAAGTACCACACTACAACTGCCTTTGGCGCCTTTGTACATCCCCTGCCAAGCAAATGGGCAATTCTTTCATTTCCAATGCATGCAGTCGATGCTTCCAAGCATCCCAGGAAATCCTCTTGCTGCATTCTATGCTAGGATTCGAGCAGTGTCTTCCGCATTGGGTGTTCTCAAGTATTGCGGTCCAAACACTGCCACCACTGCCCGACAGAACTTGTAGAAACACTCTATGTTGGTGGACTCGGCCATGCGCCCATAGTCGTCGAGTGTATCACGGGAGCTCCGTATGCAAGCATCCTCATCGCTGTCGTGCACTTCTGGATGGAGGTGAATCCAAGGGCGCCGGTGCAATCCATCTTGCACTTGAAGTAGTTGTCGAACTCCTGGATGGAATTCACAATCCTGAGGAAGAGCTTTCGGCTCATCCGATAACGGCGCCGAAATGTTTTCTCGCCGTGAAGTGGAGCATCGGCGAAGTAGTCGGAGTAGAGCATGCAGTAGCCTTCGAGACGATGCCGGTTCTTTGCTTTCACCCGCCCCGGCGCCGAGCCACCTCGCCGCGGCTTTTCATTGCTCGCCAGCAACTGGGCGAGGGCGGCGAGCACCATGAGATGCTCTTCTTCCTGGACGTCGGCCTCGGCTTCCTCCTCCAGCAGCGCGGCGAGCGCTTCCTCGTCATCCGAGTCCATCGCCGAGGCAGGCAAATCGCCGAACACCTTGCGCCCGGTGGGCGTGTACCGGCCGCTAAACTGCCCCTCTGCGGCCGGAAACGCCCAGCTGCTGTTGGAGGGGCTGCCGCGGTGAAGCTCTGCTATTTTTCCGGCGGGGAATGGCTGTCTAGCGGTGAGGGCGGCGGACGGCGCCGGGATATAGCTAGTGGCGGCCGAAGGCGCGGGGGGTGGGAGGCGAGTCGGGGAAGAAAACGTTGACTTTTCCCCTGACGGTGTGGGCCAGCCGCGCTTTTCCCTTGCGCCGGAGCCCCCAATTGCCCCCAGTGCGCCGGGTTCGGCCTGTGATCGTCGGGCGGAAAAAAGAGCCGAACCGGCGATTTTCGGCGTCCTGGGGGCGCGACTGGGACATTTTTTGGCGCCGACACCGAAAAAGTGGTCTGGGGGGCCTGTTGGAGGCGCGCCTGAAGATGCTCTAAGGTATTGACATGTATATAACATCAACTATGAGGAGTGTCAATGTGTCCGCGGACATGTTCAAGCACGTTTGCCGGTGTTTGAAGGGCCGGATTTCTGGCTGTAGATGCTCGTACCGTTCTCAGTTTTACTTTTATCTTTTTTCTTACCGCACGTCCAGGTCCAAGCCACGGGGTAAAAGTAATAGAGAGTAAAACACTCGAGTGATGGGGGGCGCTCTACACGGGATGAAAACCGAAGCTCTCCCAAGTTGGCCCCACGGCCGCTGCTGCTCTCTCCCAGTGGGCGATCGGTACGGCAGATGCACCTGGCGTATGGTATGGTACTAGTCGAAGCTCTGCTGCGTCCGGCCTGGCATGGCCACGGATCACCTGCGCTTGGTCCACGCAAGCCGTGGCCACGCCTGCCTCTTGTCTCTCCCTCCCTCTACCTCTACGAGAGGAGAGACTGCGGCGGTGCTGTTCCGTCCCATCGGTGTTTAAAGCTGTAGTCTCGTACTCATCTGCCACTGTACTACTACTGTACATCATTCAATTATTGGCCTTCAAGTGGCCTGCCGAAGATGCGTTCCTTCCAAGAGGCAACGCTCTTTCGCTCTCTATCAATCAGAAGAAGAAAACATCTTCCAAGAGGCAGACAGGCGGAGACCGGAGTCAACCTTCTTCTCTCTCAAAGGAAAGAACAACCAACTGCTGAAAGCTGGATCGGATCCTCGGAATCTAGGAGAGAGCAAGCTCCGTCAAGTTCGTCATCTCCAGGTTAGTTCTTCAAGCCAGATCTTGCTAGCTTCAGTTGGCATCTCGTGATGCGGCAGTATTTGTTATACAGGTGATTCCATTTTTTTACCTCCTCTTTTCGGATCAAGACAGCTTGTGGCGAGCAGATCTAGCTTCAAACGTAGATCTAGCTCCTGGAGTCCTGGAAGAACTGTTCACCAACTTGGTAGCTAGCAACGAGCATCTTAGCTTAATTACCAATTTCGGGATAAGAAAAACTTGTACAACCTCCGTAAATTAATGTAAGAGCGTTTAGATTACTACTTTAGTTATCTAAACGTTTTTATATTAGTTTACAGAGGGAGTAGTATTTAAGCAATGCAAGTTGAGCGGCTGACGCAAAAATACTTCTTCAAGCCATATCTTGCTAGCTAGCAACGAGCATCTTAGCTGTATTCCCAATTTCGGGATAAGAAAAACTTGTATGGATAAGAAAAACTGTCTTTAGCTATGCAAGTTAGCGGCTGACGCAAAAATTAATTGTTTAATTACAACCCGCGATGTAACTATGCTACATTTTCCCGGGAACCATCGTTCAGTCTAGCTACTCTGTTTTCGCCTTCATATATATGCACAAAACTAACTAAGAAAGCGTACGTCTCAGGTAGCACCACTGGCAACCATGGAGGCGGCTCTGGTGAGTGCAGCGACGAGAGCCTTGAAACCCGTCCTGGAGAAGCTAGGCGCTCTGGTGGGCGACAAGTACAAGAGGTTCAAGGGTGTCCGTGACGATATCAAGTCACTCACGCGTGAACTCACTGCCATGGAAGCATTTCTTCTCAAGATGTCAGAGGAAGAGGACCCTGATTTTCAGGATAAGGTGTGGATGAATGAGGTGCGGGAGCTCTCTTATGACATGGAGGACTCCATCGATGACTTCATGCAGAGTGTGGGCAGCCAAGATTCAAAGCCAGATGGTTTCTTGGAAAAGATGAAGAACTCGTTGGGGAAGATGAAGGCTCGTCGTCGCATCGGAAATGAGATCCATGATCTGAAGAAACAGATCACAGAGGTGGCGGAGAGGAATGAAAGGTACAAGGCCCGCGAGGTCTTCTCCAAGGCCAAGAATACAACCGTTGACCCTAGAGCTCTTGCTATCTTTCAGCATGCCTCCGAGCTTGTCGGAATTGATGAACCTAAGGCTGAGATAATTAAACTGTTGACACAAGGTGCGTCAACACAAGAGAAAATGAACTTGGTATCCATTATTGGATCTGGAGGAATGGGAAAGACAACTCTTGCAAACCAAGTGTATCAAGATCTCAAAGGAAAATTTCAATGTCGAGCCTTCTTATCCGTTTCAAGGAATCCAGACATGATGAATATCCTAAGGACTATTCTTAGTGAAGTTAGTGGCCAACGTTACACCGACACCGAAGCAGGAAGTATACAACATCTCATCATCAAGATCACTGATTTCCTAGTAGACAAAAGGTACAGTTTCTATTCTGACTTCTCATCATCAAGTAGATAGTTACTAAAGTTACTCAAACATTTCACATCAAAACGCTCTTGTGCTTTTGTATAATAAAAATAGTTCCATGTAGTTTTATGTCCATTCTTTTTTTCCATCAATTGGTACAAGAAATAATGGTCAATGTTTGTAGTGGAGTTCATGTTGATGCCAAGTAAATAAGAACTTAGAGAGAGAGTACCAAAAAACCACATATCTTACAAATGTCTGTCCATGATTTATGTCCTTTTTATTTACCTTTGGCATTATAGCATCTTCAAGACATTGTATTCCTATCATTGAGCATGTGGCGTAGCCTTAGAGTAACTACAAATAGGGGGCTTATAGTTTGCTTACATGGCAGCATTGTCTAAATGGACGAGTGTGGACTCTCCCGCATGATCCTACGTCTACACGTGCTCCACGGCAAATATAATATCTAATAGCCATTCATCATCATAAGAGTGATTATAAAATGATGGCTTTAGATGACATGACACTAGCATGTATCCATCGGCTGGTTGTGCTACGCACGAGGATAATAATAGAGCCAACTTCTAGTGATATATCATTGTCATGTCAGATGTGGTTATTATAATAGCCCAGCACATAACAGTTAGCAAAAGAAATATACTACCCCATTCATATTCGTCTCACCTCACTCAAAAGGTTTTTCGAGCCCGTGTTCCATATTTTTTTCTCCAAAAGGGGCCCAAGGTCATAAATCAAGTATCATACGTCATTACAAGCACACCCATACAGAAAATAAAATTACATTGAAATTCTTGGGGGTTCCAAAGTCTTATTCCTCATGCATCCACCAGAGAAGCGAGGTGAGCAAAGCCCGATTATGCTTCTGGGCTGGGCCTCAACCTCAACAGAGATTTTTTTTAAACCATGAGCTTGTAGAAGCAGTTACCGGAAAGTCATCGGTGTAGACCATGAGATGCCGACGGCTGTGATATGCGTATCAGATCGCCGCGTCGAAGATGGAAACGCCGAAACGTCTTGTAGAAACTCTAAGGACAATGAAACCAGTCAAATCCATATGGATCCACCAGAAACCCAAACCGACCAGATCCCGAAATATCCACCAGAGACATGGATCCACATGCCCTCTTCCAGAGATAAGCACACCAAGTGAGTGGGACGGGGCAAAGAGAACATTATTCCTACATTGGGGTAACGCCGCCGCCTTGATGCCCCAAACAAAATATGACGAATCCCTAAGGATACAAAGAAAACAATCACCCATGCCGCTACACGCCAGGTCCGAGATTGATGTCGAGCCCACCGTCGTCCAGGACCATGCACCACCGCCCTCTTCTCCGATGGCCTAGCCAAGCCAAGTCATCGAGTATTGCCTGCCGGAGACCACAACTTATCCACACATCGCCATCGCCAACCCACAGTAGTCCGCTGAATTTTCCTTAGGAGATCCCCACAAACTGCAGCCTCCCCTCAGCCGCCAACGTCGAATGGGCTTTGCCAGCGCACCCTAGCGAGGAGAGAAGGGGAGCAAAAGGATTGATGGCTAGGGTTTGTTCACCCGGTGGAGCTCCCTCGTGAAATATATTTCTTCAAGTTGATTATGAATCTACAGTTGTTACGCAAATACGATGTGGAAATTCCTACATCATGTTTACATCATAGTATTATACTTGCTTTATTAGCCATGCTCTTAGGGAGTAGATCAATTAGCTAGTCTCAGCTCATTGCTAATAATAACACCACTCATATACTTTTATAATGTTAGAAAAGTTCATTTTCATTAGTGTACTAATTATCGACTCGTCTCACTTCTCTTTGTAAGCATTTTGGGCTTCTGTGATATCCTAAACCATTTTTCGAGTACTTTATCCTACGGCCAGTTTAGGGCGGGCCATTGCATGCCTTTCACCTTCTTTCTCTTCCACCTCCTCCTTTTGTGATATCAATCTTTAGACGTATCAGACAATAGCGGTGGCAGGAATCAAGTCCTTGGTATTCGTTGATTCTTTTTTGCCATGAATACCAGCAATATATAGAAAATATAGCTACAGTATACACACACATAAACAAATCTTTGGTATTCATCTGAATACCAAGGAAGACCCCTGGTACCAGATCCACTTTGCATCCATACAGACTTGTTCTCCTTCCTCCCTCTTCTCTCATCTCCCGATTGTGATGAGATCCCCAAGGCATCGGTCATTGCCTTGACCTCATGCGACCGTGTACATCACCAACAATCTAGTCAGTCAAACAGAAAAAAACAACAGTTTAGAGTTAAGTGGTCCCATAAATTAGTTACAGGGAATGTAAGGGAAAAACGATAGTCATGATCACCTGATCAACATTTCTTCTACACTAGTTAAGTAGGTTACATACATCATAATGTTGTGTTCAATCTCTTGTTAAGTCACCATTGATCTTTTCCGTGGTAATGACTTATGTTTGAGTTGTTGGGTATCAGTATCACCCAACTATCCGTAATCTGCCAAGGTATTAGCATGTAGTTTAACTCTTCTGTCAGCTTTCTTACTCATGAATATATTTTTATGCTGCCATTGTGAACATGTTTATAGTTTCATGTATTTGTCTATTTTGTTGTTGACTATTTATACCATTACCACACAAATGTCAACCATGTATGTTCATGCAGGTATTTTGTTGTTCTTGATGATATATGGGATGTGGATACATGGCATGTTCTTAAGCATGCATTTCCTGTGACAAGTTCTGGCAGTATTATAATCACCACTACTCGTATAAATGATGTTGCTGAGTCATGCCGTTCAAGACCATATAATGGAGATATTTATAGCATAAAGCCTCTTGATATGGTACACTCTAGGCAGTTATTTTACACAAGATTATTCAACTCCGAAGAAAATTGCCCATCATATCTTGAAATAGTTTCTGAACAAATTTTAAAAAAATGTGCTGGGCTGCCTTTGGCAATCATTGCTATATCGGGTTTGTTGGCTAATACTGAAAGGACAGAGGGTCCATGGAAGGAAGTTGAAGATTCGATTGGTCGAGCACTTGAAAGAAATCCCAGCCTTGAAGGAATGATGAAGATATTATCACTTAGTTACTTTGATCTGCCTGCTCATCTGAAATCTTGTCTTTTATGTTTGAGTATATTCCCTGAAGATTCTATTGTTCAGAAGAAAGTTTTGATAAATAGATGGATTGCTGAAAGAATAATTCATACAGAAGCCGGATATAGTAAAACACATCAGTTCGGAGAAAGGTGTTTTAATGAGCTCATCAATAGGAGTTTGATCCAACCTTGGCATACAAACAGATATGGTACGGTAAAGAGTTGTCGACTTCATGACACAATTCTTGATTTCATCATATCCAAGTCCATAGAAGAAAACTTTGTTACTTTGGAAGGTGTTCCTGGTTTGACTATTGGGACACAAAGAAAAGTTCGTCGGCTCTCCCTGCAAGCCGACAAGCAAAAAGAACTGATAGTGCCAAGAGGCTTGGTGTTGTCTCATATCCGATCACTTGATGTGTTTGGGGAATCTGTGAAAATTCCTTCTATGGATAAGTTCAGGCATTTGCGTTTTCTGGACTTTGAAGATTGCAAACAACTGGAGAACCATCATCTTGAAAATATAGATAAACTGTTTGAGCTGAGGTACCTGAGCCTCCAAGGGGCGAAGAAAGTAAGCAACCTTCCAGAACAAATCGGACACCTATGGTGCTTAGAGATACTAGACTTAAGAGGCACCTCTGTTTTTGAGTTACCAGCATCTTTTGTCAATCTCAAGAGATTGGTGCGCCTATTAGTAACCAAGAAAGTTACACTTCCTTGTGGAATTTTTAAGCTACAAGAACTGGAGAAATTGAGGCTTGTCAGTGTCTATAGCCAGTCATTTAACTTCCTGCAAGAATTTGAGCAGCAACAGAGTCTGAAGGTATTGGGCCTTGATTTTGAGGATTATAATTCTGCTGACCGAGTAAATGCTGAAAATGAGTCCAAGAAAACTATTATTGTTGCTTCCCTTAAAAACCTAGGGAACCTTCTCTGTCTAACTGTTTGGGATGGCCCTGCATTTGTAAGAGAGTCTTTGTGCCCTATGCCACTTAGCCTTCAGAAGCTGAAAGTCCGTGGTTCTAGTATTCCCCATGTTCCAAATTGGGTGGGCTCCCTTGTCAACCTCCAGGAGTTACGCCTTAATCTGGTCAGAGCCGAGAAGAAAGATTTATATATCCTTGGAGGCTTACCTGTTCTGCGTTGTCTGATTCTGACAATTGATGGAAGTGAAATTAGAAATACCTCATTAACAGAAGAGCCTGAAGTTACAAGGGTCATAGTCTGTGGTGAAGTTGGATTCCCATGCTTAAGGATATTTAATTATTATAGTAAGTATGCTGTGATGAATTTGGCGTTTGCGGCTGGAGCCATGCCCATGGTAGATGACCTCTTGATAGAATTTGATGCAGCAAAAACTGGGTCTCTCGGTGCCAGCGGTGATTTTGATCTCGGAATAGAAAATCTTCCCAGCCTCCTTAAAATCAGATGTATAGTATGGGGATACGGGGAGGCTGCGGAGGCTGCCATTCGGGAAGCAGCCAACGC